AATAAGGAGTTCATGATCTGAGCCACAGTCAGCTCCTGGTCTTGTTTTTGCTGACTGTATAGAGCTTCTCCATCTTCAGCTGCAAAGAATATAATCAACCTGATTTCAGTATTGACCATCTGTTGATGTCCATGTGTAGAGTCTTCTCTTGTGTTGTTGGAAGAGGGTGTTTGCTATGACCAGTGCGTTCTCTTGGCAAAACTCTATTAGCCTTTGCCCTGCTTCATTCTGTACTCCAAGGCCAAATTTGCCTGTTACTCCAGGTGTTTCTTGACTTCCTACTTTTGTGTTCCAGTCCCCTATAATGAAAAGGACATCTCTTTGGGGTGTTAGTTCTAGAAGGTCTTGTAGGTCTTTACAGAACCATTCAACTTCAGCTTCTTCAGCATTGCTGGTTGGGGCCTAGGCTTGCATTACCGTGATATTGAATGGTTTGCCTTGGAAATGAACAGAGATCATTCTGTGGTTTTGAGATTGCATCCAAGTACTGCATTTTGGACCCTTTTGTTGACCATGATGGCTGCTCCATTTCTTCTAAGGGATTCTTGCCCACAGTAGTAGATATAATGGTCATCTGAGTCAAATTCACCCATTCCAGTCCATTTTAGTTCGCTGATTCCTAAAATGTCTACATTCACTCTTGCCATCTCCTGTTTGACCACTTCCAATTTGCCTTGATTCATGGACCTAACATTTCAGGTGCCTATGCAATATTGCTCTTTATAACATCAGACCTTGCTTCCATCACCAGCCACATCCACAACTGGGTGTTGTTTTTGCTTTGGCTCTGTCTCTTCATTCTTTTCGGGGTTATTTCTCTACTGATCTTCAGTAGCATATTGGGCACCTACTGACCTGGGGAGTTCATCTAACAGTGTTCTATCTTTTTGCCTTTTCATAGTGTTTATTGGGCTCTCAAGGCAAGATTACTGAAGTGATTTGCCATTCCTCTCCAGTAGACTTCATTTTGTCAGAACTCTCCACCACGACCCATCTATCTTTGGTGGCCCTAGATGGCATGGCTCATAGTTTCATTGAGTTAGACAAGGCTGTGGTCCATGTGATTAGATTGGTTACTTTTCTGTGATTGTGGTTTCAGGCTGTCTGCCCTCTAATGCCCTCTCCCAGTGCATACCATCTTACTGGGGTTTCTGTGACCCGGGACCCAAATGACCATTAACAAAGAGTGGCTGAATCTATTATGGTGCCTCCACAGCTGATAATGAGCTTCATCCACTGTGCGGCTCTAGAGGTGGTGGCAGGAATGTTGAAATGACTCTCCCCCATTTGGTTGCTAGTGTCCCATCCCTCCAGGTAACCTCACCAACCACCCTGATCCCTCAGCCTCAAGACCCCTTGGTCTACTTTATGATCCATCAACTAAAAGGTTCACATCTGACTCAGCAGAGCCCTATAAAGAGCTGACTCCAAGACAGGGGCCAGAATATAACCTGATGGGTGCTGTTCATTGGGTGATTCAAAACTCTGGATATCACCTCTAGGTACACCTATACTCAGCAACGTAAGCTACCACAAAAAAAAAAAAAAAGAGTTATAACCATAGGCATTGACCTGAACAGTACATCCACAGCAAACTGTTATATTAGAAAAAGAAAGGCACACTCACACACACACACACACACACACACACACACACAAATTGAAAATTGTGCTAGATGCATAGAAAGACAAGGTCACTCAGTTGCAAAGTGACTGTCACAGTATGAACCAATTGTTGTGTGTATGGATATATATAAACACATGGGTTCATATAAACATTAAGAAGAAATGATTTTATAAGGTTCAAAAAAACCAACTCTACTGTATAACAAGCTTCAAAAGTATATTCTATTTCCTCCAGTAAACCTAATATCTTGTAAAGGTAATAAATATGACTGAGAAGAAGAAAGAAGACTTCAGTATCTTTCTAAAATCTCTTCTCTTCCATAGAAATCTGGAAATGAAAATTCTTATCATAGTCCAACAACCAGATATGAACCATAGGATTGGAGGCAGACAGCACCTACAATCAAGATTTGTGTCCCTGCTGGTCTCACCTTAGGGAGGTAATATCCCCGGAAGTGAGTGTCCTTGATGACAGAGTGGGGGACACCAACAGGGACTAGGTCACTGAATCTCTGAATCTCATGGATGACAGCATCTGTATAAGGCATTTTTGGCCGATCTTCCAGAGCTGGGAGACGGTGTGCACCAATCACTCTGTCGATTTCTGCCTGGACTTTCTCTGAGAACAGTTCAGGTGAGAGGAGGTTATGTCAATAAACGCCCATAACAGTGGACTCAACCAAGTGACCTGAAAATGACCTGCAGACTGATGAGAGGGTCTTGTAAATTCTTTTCTAAGATGTTGGGTTATCATTCCTCTCAATGAAAGCATCAAAAAAGATATCAGAAGCTGGTTTGTGGAGAAGTCTTGTCTGATGTTTCTACTCTAGTTATGACAGTGGGTAACTTGGGTAAGGATGGGTGGGTGGAAATTCATTCATTAATGGTGCTTTTTGCTTTTCCAACTAAAAATGAGTTCTAGCTGAAACTGGTGTCATCTCCTTTTGTCTCACTCATGTGCTATGTGATTTTAGATAAGTCATTCCCTCAGGCTGGCCTTAAATTTATTCCTATGAAAGAATGGAGTCTGATGAGGTGAGAGTATCTCCAAGTCTGATCTGCAGACCATCAAATGAGAACCAATGGAGGGGCTTTTTAATTAGTTGTAAATTGGCCATTTCCTTCTCCATGTAAATTGGCAATATATGTGAAAAAGTCAAATTCTTAGTCCACTGAAAAGAGTAGTTGGTGAGAATCCTGTACTTTAGTAGACAGCAAAATGCACTGCAAAAGGTAATGCTTTACGTAAGGAGCATTCTTTGAAAACCACAAGGCACCTTACCATCTCTCAGGGCAGATTGCAAAACACTTCATAAGTACAAACACTTCTAACCAGATGGTGCTTGCCTGCATGAAAAATTCTTTGTAAAGTAAATCCTAAAGTGTTTTGTCAACTTTAAAGAGCTTTGTCCCTAGCAAAGTTTTATTACAAGTTACAAGTGCCTGTGTGCTGTGCTTAGTTGCTCAGTCGCATATAACTCCTTGCAATCCCATGGACTATAGCCCACCAGACTCCTCTGTCCATGGGGATTCTCCAGGCAAGAATATTGGAGTGGGTTGCCATGCCCTCTTCCAGGGTATCTTCCCAACACGGGGTTCCAACCCTGGTCTCCCCCATTGCAGGAGGATTCTTTCCCAGCTGAGCTACTAGGGGAGCCCTCTAGGGGTGATTTTTTTTTCTCCCAGATTGCTCAGGACAGAAGTTACCTGTCTTAGCCTGTCAGCCTTCCAGAATGGCCTTAAAGACCCTCATTCCTCCCCGGCCCCTACCTCCCATATGCCCAGCTCACCTAAGACATCGGGGTTCTTAAGAAGGAGTAGAAACCCAAAGCAGAGTGTGGAGCTAGACGTCTCTGTACCAGCAAAGAACAGTGAGAGCGCCGTGTGAACGAGGTTCTCCTGGTGAAACTCACTCTCAGGATCTGAGCGCTCCTAGAGATGGGAATGGGTGATTCATAACATTTCCCTCTGCAGAAATTCCCAGTTTCTGAGTCTTTTTATCTCCCTACCAACACCATGTTCCTTTGTGTCAGTTATTCTTTTTCTTGAACCTTTTTTTTCTCTAATCAAGGCCAAAAAGGTACCAAAAGGGTGAGCTCTGGAGTGAAAGTGCTGGACTTCAAATTCGGACCTTAACATTTACCATCAGTGTGTATTTGGGCAAGGAATATAACCTCTTGTTGCCTTAGCACATCCTCATGGAGTTATTTTGATAATGTATGATAAGCTCAATGAAAGTTAAAGTTTAATTTGTTGATGTCATTGCTGTTGTTGATTCTCTCTGTCCTTGGGTGTCATTGCACTCCTGATTGGCCTTTGCAGCTGACATTCCAGGGATATTGCTGAAGATATTTAACAACTAGTAGGCACTCGGCCAGAACAGACATTGGTCTCAATCAGTTAAAACAGATGTGGGCTTCTGACTAATCAGAACAAACTCAGTTCTGTGCCTGCCAGAATTGGGGGAAGGAGTGAGATCCATCTCAGAGTAAGCTTACTGGGCTATATATTAACTCTTTGGTCTTAATCTCTTTAAAAGCATTCCAGAAGGAAGGCTTGGAGAGGATTAGGAAGGAATAGAGGGGAGGGATTGGACCATGGACTGCTTGCTAATCCTTAGGGAAGTATTTAAACATTTAAAGAACACATACATCCCACACAAATATACTAACTCAATGTCAGGAGTGTGTCCATCACTCTCTTTCTGGCTCCCCCGGGGCAGCCATTGCCTTGTCCATATTTAACAACTGGTATGGCTCTTGCCAGACCAATCAGAACAGACATTGGCCTGCACCAATCAAAACAGACATTGGTCTCTATCAATCTGAATATACATGGAGCTTGACCAATCAGAACAGGCTTGACTCTGTCACAACTCGGGGAAGGAATGAGCTGTGTCTCAGAGAAAGCTTACTGGACATATGTTAATTGCTTATTTACCATCTCTTCAAAGGCTGTTGGGAGGAAGGCTTGGGGAAGCATAGGAAAAAATGGAGGATTGTGGACCTTGGCTTTCTTGCTAATCCTTAGAGAACTACTTCAACATTTAAAGAACAGGTACATCGCACCCAAAGATATTAGTTCAATGTCAATATGGTTTCCATTACTCTGTTTCCCACCCCCAACACCCATCCGGGGCAGGTCTTGCCTTGTCCATGCGAAGCAGGAAGGAATCAATGAAGTCCTTAGGGCCACTGGGATCAAGCATCTTCTGGTGCCTCTCCATGTTCTCAATGATAAAATCTTTCACTTCTTGAATCATGCTGTACAAGCGGGTGTGTGTGCCAGGAAAGTGTTTCAAGATGCCCGGGAAAATTTCAAACACCTACAGGGCAGCAGACAAGGTGCAGAACCCATTGTATTCACTGGGCTGGTTCTGTGAGTGTTGATGTTCTGATCTGCACACATAGCAACATCTAAAGGGCATCGTTCACCCTGTGGACTTGGAGAGTGTGCCTCCCAACAGAGTGCACACCTGCACACTCATACACATGCACACACGCACACACACACACACACACACACAGTGGTGCATAGACCTCTGCACCAAGCTCCAGTCACTCTCACATCTACTGAGCTTCCTTCTCTGGAAGCCCGTCCTTGTCCAAGGCCTGATCCTGACCCCCGAACTGATGGATGGCCTCACCTGGGAGGGCCACTAAACCTTCCATGTTTAGTGTTCAGGACAGAAAGTATCTGATCTTTTCCTGGGGTCCACCACCCTGATTGCTGGCCCACTATGCAGTTGATGACTCACCTGGGTATAGAAGGAGCAGAGAATAATGAAGATTTCATTAAGTAAATGTAGCAGCCGTAATAGTCTAGGGTCTTGGTAATTAAAGCGCTCACCAAAGACAATGGAGCAGATTATGTTGGCGCTGATAGAGTTAAAGAGGAAATGAGGATCCAGGTAGGCCCCTGAGGAGAGAGGTCTGTCAGGGGGAAGGGTCCCCTGCACAGTCCTTCTGGTTGGCTCTGACCTGACTGGTGCCATCTCATCCTGGCTGGTGCCATCTCATGCTAGCTCCTTTGATTAGTTTCTTTGTCTTTCTTTTGGCTGACTGGGCTTTCATTGGGTATCTAAGATTTTCTTTCTGAAAGTCTTCACCTCTGAGTCTCTTGTTGCTTTTCTTGGTCTGTGTCTTGGGCTGACTTTCTTTCAGACTCACTCCTTCTTCTCTGTTCTCTTGCCATATCTTTGTAGCCCCTCTCCTTAACCTCACTGACATTCTGTGTCCCCTGACTTTAATAACTCCCTACTCCCTTTACTTTTTTCTTTCACTTTTCCTTGAAGTTTCTGTTCCTAGATTTATTGTGTCACCTTCTCCATATCTGTCTTGCTTTTGCTCTGTTTCTCTCTGTCTATGCTCTCTGTGCTTCTGTCCACTTTCTCTGCCTCTCCCTCTCTCTTTGCTAGTCTCTGTCTCTCTCTGTTTTTCCTCATTCTCTTTCTCTTTTTCTGTCTCTATCTCCTTCTCCTCTCTTTTTCTGAACCTGTTTCTGCCTCTCTCTGTCTTTGTCCCTGGATCTCTCTTTATCAGTCATATGCCCTCTCCCTCTCTCTCTCACCCTGTCTCATCCCCACCTCCACCCAGCCTGCACTCACCCTGGGATTTCCGAAGCTCCTCCACCAGACACTGAGCCTCCTTCTTTATTCGTTCCTCAATAGTCCGCTTACCCATCCCAAAGTCTTTCATGGTGGTCACAGAGAATCGCCGTAGAACCTTCCATGACTTTCCATTGGCAAAGACCACACCTGATGGTGGGGCATGGAAGGAAGGTTGAGAAGACACACGGAATAGTCCTTCCTCCTCTACCTAATCCTCACCCTCGTCCCCCACTCACCTGTTCCCTGGAAGACAGGGTCAAGGATGGCGATGTGCCCTCGGCCAGAGAATGCCTCGGCCTGATCCACCAGGGCCTCCCTCATCGCCTCGTACCCCCACAGGATGACGGCAGGCCGAGACCCCAGGTAGACAGTAAAGACATCCCCGTATTTCTCCCGTAGCTGTAGGGGCAAAGTCCAGGTCTCACTCTCTGACTCAAGAGAAGGATCTCCACCTCACCCCTGGATCACACCTCCCAGTTAGCCTACCCTGCAGGCTACAGCCCCATCAGGGAAGAGCAAAGACTGGAACTCTATCGTCTCCTCTGTACCTCATATATATCACCTGACTCCAAGCATCTGCCTCTGTTGACTTTACCCTGAGCCCTCCCAGCTTTGCTTTCAAGAATTACAGAGGGCATGGTCCTAAGTTGGCAGAGGAATAGGACAAGGAGACCACTTTCTCCCTGACAAATTCATCAAAAGAACATTTGAACGCTGAGCAAATTCCACAAAACAACTTCTGAATGCTGGCAGAGGACATCAGGCACCCAGAAATCCAGCCCATTGTCTTTGAAAGGAGGTAGGACAAAATATAAAAGATAAAAAGAGAGACAAAAAAGTTAGGAACAGAGACCCATCCTGGGAAGGGAGTCTTAAAAGAGGAGAAGCTTCCAAATACCAGGAAACCCTCTCACCGGCGGATCTGTGGGGGAGTTTTGGAGTCTCAGAGGGCAACATAACCAGGAGGAAAAATAAATAAATAAAACCCACAGATTATGTGCCTAACAGCAACTCCCAGCAGAGAAGGAGCCCAGACGCTAGCATCCACCACCTGCAAACGGGCTGAACAGGGAGGCGTGGGCTGCTTTGCTTAGGGTAAGGACTGGGCCTGAAAGCCCCAAGGGCAATCTGAGAGAGCTAATGTGAGATAGCAACCCAAACTGTGGGATAGCCAGAGGGGGGGGGTGGGGGGAAGAAGAGAGAGAGAACTATCCCACAGAAAGCCCAGCAGCCAGAGCCAGAAAGGGGCAATCTCGGCCCCAGAGATGGCATCCTCCTCTACCAAACTGCAAGCAGGCTCCCAGTTGCTAACCAAGACTTCCTGGGATTCTGGACGGTTGACATCCACCAGGAGGGTTGCAGCCAGAGATCAGCCCCCCAGAAGAGACACATAGTACACCTGAGATGGCGTGCCTGCTGTGTACCCAGGAAACTGAGTGGCTGGGACAGGGGAGGCAATAAGAGACACCCATTACTTGGGGAGAGTGTGCTTACCAAGCACCTGGTCCCTGAGCTGCTCGGACCTGGGAAGGGCACAAAACACAGGCCCAACTGAATCTGTGCCTTTGTGGAGTACCTGAGAACCTGAACCTGAGTGGCTTAGACCTGGGAAATCCACACAACCCAGGGCCCACTTTAGACAGTTCCGCTGCAGAGCAACCTGGAGCCTGAGCAGTGTAGACTGGGAAAGCACACACGCTGTGAGCAGGGGCAAACCCATTGTGGCTGAGACACTGTGAGCACTCCCCACACACGCCAGTGATATTTGTTTGCAGCATTCCTCCCTCCCCACAGCACAACTGAACAAGTGAGCCTAAATAAGTGACCACCTTTGCCCCCTTGTGTCAGGGCAGAAATAAGACACTGAAGAGACCTGCAAACAGAAGAAGCCAAAATAAACAGAGGGAACTGCTTTGGAAGTGACAGGTGCAACAGATTAAAACCCTGTAATTAGCAACGACTACACTGGAAGGGGCCTATAGATCTTGATAAGTACAAGCTGAAGCAAAGAACTGTCTGAAACTGAACTAACCCCATACTGTTGCTTCACAACAGGTCCAGATAAATTCCTAGATATATTTTTACTATTATAATTTTTAAAATTTTTTTAAATTTAAAAAAATGTTAAGTCCTCTATTACTCCCGTATTTTTCATTTTTATAACCTATTATTACCTTGCAAAAAAAAAAGGGGGACCCTATTTTTAAAGCAAACTTCATTTATATTTTTTATAATTTTTGTGATTTTTAAAAAATATTGTATTTTTTAGAGTCTAACCTCTACTCTGGATTTTTAATCTTTGCTTTTTGGTATTTGTTATCAATTTTGTACCTTTAAGAATCCAATCTTCAGTACCCATTTTTACTTGGGAGTGTGATTAACGGCTTGATTACTCTCTTCCCCTTTTGACTCTCCTTTTTCTCCCCCAGGTCACCTCTATCTCCTCCCTTCCTCTTCTCTGTGAATCTCTTTGTGTGTTCCAGGCTGTGGAGAACATTTAGGGAGCTTATTACTGCCTAGATCTGTCTCTTTCCATTTGATTCCCCCTCTTTTCTTCTGGTCACCTCTATCTCCTTCCTCCCTCTTCTCTTCTCTATGTAACTTCATGAACCTCTCTGAGGGTTCCAGACTGTGGAGAGCACATAAGGAATTGATTACTGGATAGATTGCTCTCTCCCCTTTTGATTCTCCTCTTCTCCTCCTGGTCACATCTATCTCCCTTCTCCCTATACCCTTCTCCATGTAAGTCTGTGAACCTCTCTGGGTGAGAGAGGTGTGGAGAATCTTTTCACCATTAACCTAGATGTTTTATCATTGGTGCTGTATGGATGGAGAAGTCTTGAGGCTACTATAAGAATAAGACTGAAAACCAGAGGCAGGAGGCTTAAGCTCAAAACCTGAGAACACCAGAGAACTCCTGACTCAGGGAACATTAATTGATAAGAGTTCATCCAAAAGTCTCCATACCTACACTGAACCAAGCACCATCCAAGAGCCAACAAGTTCCAGAGCAAGACATACCATGCAAATTCTCCAGCAACGCAGGAATATAGCTCTGAGCTTCAATATACAGGCTGCCCAAAGTCACACCAAACCCACAGACATCTCAAAACTCACTACTGGACACTTTATTGCACTCCAGAGAGAAGAAACCCGGCTCCACCCACCAGAATACCAATGCAAGCTTCCCTAACCAGGAAACCTTGACAAGCCACTCATCCAACCCCACCCACGGGGAGGAAGCTCCACAATAAACAGGAACCATAAACTGCCAGAATACAGAAAGGCCACCCCAAAAACAGCAATCTAAACAAGATGAAAAGGCAGAGAAATACTCAGCAGGTAAAGGAACATGATAAGTGCCCACCAAACCAAACAAAAGAGGAGGAGATAGGGAGTCTACCTGAAAAAGAATTCAGAATAATGATAGTAAAAATGATTCAAAATCTTGAAAACAAAATGGGGTTACAGATAAATAGCCTGGAGACAAGGATTGAGAAGATGCAAGAAATGTTTAACAAGGACCTAGGAGAAATAAAAAAGAGTCTATCAATAATGAATAATGCAATAAATGAGATAAAAAACACTCTGGAGGGAACCAACAGTAAAATAATGGAGGCAGAAGATAGGATAGGTGAGGTAGACGATAGAATGGTAGGAATAAATGAAGCAGAGAGGAAAAAAGAAAAAAGAATTAAAAGAAATGAGGACAACCTCGGACTTCTGGGACAATGTTAAATGCCCCAATATTAGAAGCATAGGAGTCCCAGAAGAAGAAGACAAATAGAAAGGCCATGAGAAAATACTTGAGGAGATAATAGTTGAAAACTTCCCTAAAATGGGGAAGGAAATAGTCACCCGAGTCCAAGAAACCCAGAGAGTCCCAAATGGGATAAACCCAAGGAGAAACACCCCAAGACACATATTATTCAAATTAACAAAGATCAAACACAAAGAACAAATATTAAAAGCAGCGAGGGAGAAACAACAAATAACACACAAGGGGATTCCCATAAGGATAACAGCTGATCTATCAATAGAAACCCTTCAGGCCAGAAGGGAATGGCAGGACATACTTAAAGTAATGAAAGAGAATAACCTACAACCTAGATTACTCTACCCAGCAAGGATCTCATTCAGATATGAAGGAGAACTCAAAAGCTTTACAGACAAGCAAAAGCTGAGAGAATTCACCACCACCAAACCAGCTCTTCAACAAAT